ATAGGAAAGTCTAAAATAAAATATATTTTTATTGGTAGAACGGTTCCAACGCATATAAAATGATAGACAGAGGAACACTGTGCCAGTAAGTGTAATGACACTGGTTTTACTGCAGCACATGTCTGACAATAACACCAGCATTTGATCTGTTTTCTGACCATTTCTGACACTGTGGCTGTTGTTTGACGGATGGTGATGTTTGCTGAGTGTCCAGCAGGTGGCGCCAAATATTCATTATTGGATGATAGAATGAATAAAGTTGACCAAACTGGTAATTTTCTTTGCTTGCGTCTACTGTTCTTGTGCTTTAGTACGTGTTTCTCGTGTTCAGTGAGCTGTAAACACAGTTTCTTCTCAGTCCTCAGTTCAGCTGAATGTGTCTCATGCTGTGAGTTTATTTAACTGCTGCAAAGTCTTGCTCAGCTGCGAACAGCAAGGCGATATCAACGATGAAGTGTGTCAGGAAAGAAGGCGCAGGAGTCGCTCGCTTCCTGTCACGTGACGATGACGTCACTGCGAGCGCAGAGGTGAAATCACTTGAAATCGAAAGTGAAAGTAAAGCTGATCAGCAGCTGGACGCCTGGTGAGACTATATTCCCTGCACCTCTGTGTTATACGCACGTGTGTTTCTTATTAGATATTGTAAATCATTATAAATATTGAGATTATGTTTTGAATGCATTTTTTTTCTAGAAACCATCTTCATGGGCTCATTGTGATCAGTTTCAGTAAAGATGGCGACGAGACCTGAAACACTTCCTGGTAAGAAGAAACTATGTTACACCGTTTAAGTGATAAGAAACAGTTTAGTTAGTTTAGATGGTCTTAGTGTTAATTAATTAAAACTGAAATAATGCTCTTAAAGTCTAATTTGGTCCCTCTGAATATTATTAGAAACGATTCAGTCCTATTACAATGAGCTGAGAAATATATTAGTTATATTTTTACTGACGGATGTTAAGAGACATTTTAGTCCTGTTTATTGTGCTCTAGTGTGCAGCACGATGATGCGACGGCAGCCATAGTGCACCAGAACGCCCACCACACACCAGCTTACTGGTGGAGAGGAGACAGAGTGATGAAGCCAATCAGCAGATATGGGGATTGTTAGGAGGCCATGATGGTCAGAGGCCAATGGGCAAATTTGGCAAGGATGCCGAGGTCACACCTCTACTCTTTTCGATTTTTAATGACCACAGAGAGTCAGAACCTCGGTTTAACGTCTCAGCCGAAGGACGGTGCTTTTTACAGTATAGTGTTCCTGTCACTACACTGGGGCGTTAGGACCCACACAGACCACAGGGTGAGTACCCCCTGCTGGCCTCACTAACACCTCTTCCAACAGCAACCTAGTTTTCCCAGGAGGTCTTAGCTTAGCTTCAGTGGGTAACCAGGCTTGGGCTACAGGGTGATATGGTTGCCGGCCATATCAATATAACTATAATATTAGTTATATTTTTACTGAAGGATGGTAAGAGACATTTTAGTCCTGTTTATTGTGCTCTTTATCG